TGCACGTAGAATATTGCTGTATCTGAATACAGATAATAAGAAATAAGCATTATTATATTTATTGTCTGTTTATTATATATTGATATTACTATGTAAAGTTCTATTTTACATTATGTACAAGAGCTGTACATTTTAATGAAAAGCATAATAAGACAGAATGCTCTTTTATAATTGTTATATGCTATCGGATTTCTTTATTTTGAAACAATTAAAATTTTTCTTATATGTTATGGTGATAAAAAGTTATTTTTATGGGACGTAATTTTGAATAGCAATTAAAAATTACAATTAAAATTAAAAAAGGTTTCAAAGATTAAATCAATAAAGGAATATAAAGCTAATGAGAGCCGACACAGTTGTACGTGTGTAATAAAAAATAATATATATGTCAATAACCAATTACAGACGTTTCGACCATAAGATTAGGTCATCTTCAGTGTAATAATAAAATCTTTGAAATCAAATTGATACGTTGTAAAACAATAGGCGAATGCTGTCAATAAATCATCGTTAAGCTGTTGTCCAAAATTAAGAACTTCATTATCGTCTGGATATTTAGATTGTATCCAGCATAACAATGATCCATTATAATGCGATGTGATTATTACTATATCTTGAGAGTATGTTAAGACATAGTTATTATAACATGCTCTCAAGACATAGTTATAATCACATCAAGTACAATAGATGATAATGAAGTTCTTAATTTGGACAGCTTAACGATGATTCATTGACAGCATTCGCCTATTGTTTTACAACGTATCAATTTGATTCCGAGGATTTTATTGTTACACTGAAGATGACCCAATCTTATGGTCAAAACATCTGTAATTGGTGATTGACATATATATCATTTTTTATTATACACGTACAACTATGTCGGCTTTTATTGGCTTTATATTCCTTTATTGATTTTTTAAATAGATTTTTAAAAATTATTCTTACTTAAGTTATCGGAATGTTCTTAATTAATGGCTTCTGAGAGTTCTGGAGACTTTTTTTTAATCTTCTTCGTAGTATAGTGGTCTCGTCTCTAATCACAGAGTATTCTTGTTCTTGTATTTTATATTTGGGTGATCCTGGTCCCCATGAATGGAGTAAATTTGGCCAGTCGTAGCCAAGATCCCTCCAACTTTTTATAGGCTTTCCCGGAATTTCTGGAAAAGGCGAAAAGGTATGATACTTAGGGGCCTTAGGGCCGATTGCGTCAACATTACTTTGACTTTAAGCAAGGCTTAAAACTCTCTGTCTCGTTTTAAAGCGAAAGAGAGGCAGAGAGAGTTTTAATCCTTGCTTAAAGTCAAAGTAATGGCCGCAGCACAGACTCTTGCATAACACATAATCAATGCCATATTAGCATTAGAGGCTAACCTAGGTTATTGCCTAGGGGCGGCAAGTTTAGGGGGGCAACATTTTTTTTAAAAGAAGGTAACCAATTTTTTATAAAAATTTTTATAAAAATTTTTATAAAAATATTGGATCAAAGTACATCACAAAAAGAAGTAAATCCTTTAAGGCGATGCTAAAGCCTACTGTTTTACCCACATTTCCATTCGGTGAAAAATCTCCTTATTGAATGTACGGATTGCAAAAGTATTATTACATAAATTAAAGTATGCACCAACAGGACCTCAGCTGCACTGGATTTCAAGAGAAAAAAAATTTTTAATTTATTAAAAATTCACTTTTGGCTCGTACAGCTGTCACCTCAGATATATATTTGCTTGATACAAGAGTTTTAGAGTCCATATCATGAAAATAAGCGTGCAGCTGAGGTCACATTATTGAAACGAACGATACCGAGATTGTAGAGCTAAGATTGAAAGTCTAGAAAAAAAGTATCGCCACCGAATAAAAAATACGTGTATACAGGTGTTTTGCGAAGACGGACTGTCAATAGAGCCGAAATTCCGTGTAGCAGTAGTTGCGCGGTCTTGCGATAGATGTTGCTGGTATATGTTAGATAAGAACAGATGTATGCGTTTGAGTAAGACAGAATGATATATATTATATAATATAATGTAAAAACTGAATCAAAGATGTCACCATTATTATCGAATTTGGAATTAAAAAAGTCTGTACTATCGACCTTGATCGAGTTCGGTAACCGGTTTAGCATCCCCTTAAGGGGATCCTAAAGACGTCTGTATTACCGACTAAACACGTATAATTTTTGTATAACGAATACTCTTTTTCTCTTTCACGGATTCGAAAATCCTTTTCCAGGATTAAAGTATACGCATTAATACGTGTTTGTGAAGCGGAGTCTGTGCTGAGAATGATCAAAAATTTCGAAATCGATATATTTTTTACCATTTCTTAGTGTAACATGGCGTCTCAGCTATCAAGTCGTGACAACATTTGCTTGATATAAAAGCTTTGCAATTCGAACGTACGAAATAATAGTTCTCAAACACGTAATTTGCACGAACATACAACGTCGAGTTTTTAGAATTAGATTTAGACGCTTTATCGCGACGAATTCATTGTACGAAAATTGACACGTATGTGTGACTGCGTGTATCATAGCTGCGTGAGATATTGCTGTGGTAGTATAAAAAGACATGTCGATGTGTGGCGCATGGCGTGACATCTAGTGATTACGTCGGAATTCGAGCTTTGCTTTAGGATCCCCTTAAGGGGATGCTAAACCGATTACCCAACTCAATCAAGGTCGATAGTACAGACTCTTTTAATTCCAAATTCGATAATAGTGGTGACATCTTTGATTTAGTTTTTACATTATATTATATAATATATATCATATAAAACTCTTATATCAAGCAAATACATATCTGAGGTAACAGTTGTACGAGCCAAAAGTAAGTGAATTTTTAATTTTTTTTTCGATTTTCTCATAAAATCCAGTACAGCTGAGGTCCTGTTGATGCGTACTATAATTTAAGTAATAATACTTTTGCAATCCGTACATCCAATACAGAGATTTTTCACCGAATAGGAATGTGGTAAAACAGGGAGCTTTAGCATCGCCTTAACCGTACAAATAGAAAAAGAAATAGAATATTGACGAAACGTTTTAAAAAGCGTATAGTGTCATACGCTAGAGTCATTAAATCATCAGCATTTCGTGATCTACCATTCAGGGGTTCTAATGAATGCTTTGGTTCTTCAAAATGGCAATTATATGATGCTTTTAGAGCTTATTGCTGAATTCGATCCGTTTCTATTTGAGCGTATAAAAGTACATGGAAATAAAGGTAAGGGATCTATATCTTATCTTTCATCGACAATTTGTGATGAATTTATTGAAGTTATGTTAGGAGAGTTATTAACAAAAATTATAAATAAAGTAAAAGAGACCAAATATTATTCAATAAGCGCTGATTCAACTCCTGATATATCTCATGTCGACCAACTGACATTTATTTTACGCTATGTAACCGAAGGAGATTCGAAAGAACGATTCATTAAATTTATTCCAAATTGTAGCCACAAATCTGAAGAACTTTTCAACGTTTTGCAGTGAGCGTTTAAATGCCTTAGTATTATTGTACATCGAAGCAGAGTTTAATGTCAAAACAGATTATAATTTGATAATTAATGAGTTTTCCGTGCGAAAATCGCGTAAAATTATAATTTAAAAAAATTAAATACATGTAAAGGTGCAAAAAAGGTAAGTGTTTGAATCGATTTGTCGTGGGAAAGGTATGGATCAACTCAAGAGGCGCAAATTACCGTTGGTAACTTTGAGAATCGTTTATTCCAAATCTTGTGCGGTGCTCACATTTGGACGAATGGTCACGCAATGGCGTCTGAAAGCGCGCGTCCTGCTTTTCCTCTACTGCTACCAACTTAAATCGGGACTAAGTAAAATATAACTAAAACCAAATAAAACGGCGCGGGGAAAGGAACATAACTTAGCGAACTAGACATGCTGCCCGCCTTGACAAATATAACATATTTTCAAACAATATAAAATAATCGTTCCGCTTATCGCGTGTTATAATAAATCGATTAATAAACGCTTAAGTAACTCAATGTTGTCATGCCAATCGCCAACATAAAATTAACCTTCAATGAGCGGACAAATATTTACTATGGTCCTTTTATATTGGCCTCTTTCAGTTCGTACTGCTCTTACGATTCCATCGTTCCCTGGATGTATTTCCGTGATCCTTGCCAACGTCCATTTCAAAGGGGGAGAATCGTTGTCTTTCAGCATGACCAGATGCCCTCCGCTGGTTTAAACCTGGGTTCTCCATTTAGTTCTTTGTTGAAGTGGATAAGTATTCCTTTTGCCATTTAAATCAAAAATGCTGCTCAATGTGCTGCAATCTTGACAGACAATTTTCAGCCAAGTCACGTACGTCTCTTTTAGGATAAGACTGCAAATTTTCCCCGATCAGAAAGTGTCCGAGAGTTATGGCTCTTAGATCATTCGGGTCGTCAGATAAATGAGTGAGGGGGCGAGAATTCAATATGGCTTCTACTTGCGTCAGACCCGCCGTTAGCTCAAAAACTGTGAGGCACGTTTTTCTGATCGGCCGTTTTAGATGCAACTTAGCTCATAGAGTGCACCGCTGCCTCCCACAATCCGCCGTAGTGTGATGATCTTGCCGGAGTAAAGCGCCATGCAATTCGTTCGGTGCTTGCGAACTCCATTACTGAGTTTTTGAAGCTTTCTTCCTCGAATAATTTTCATAATTCCCGATCTGCGCCAATAAAATTCCTCCCGTTGTCGGAGTACATATTCTGAACTTTCCCTCTGCGTGCGCAGAACCTTTTCAATGCCGCGATGAATGCGTCTGAGGTCAAGTTATCGATCAGTTCGATGTGACGGCTTTAGTAGCCATGCAGACAAATATAGCTATATAAGTTTTGTATTTCTTGCCATTTCTTCGGACGCGGTCTCTTGCGTGAAACGGACCGCAATAATCCACTCCGGTGTTAAGGAACGGTCTAGACGCACTTATCCAGACTGCAGATAGTTGACCCATTATTTGCCATTTGGGTTTTGGATTCGCCTTTCGACATCTTACTCAACTGCGTATGATTCCCTTGATCTTGGTTTTTGCATGTAGGGGCCAAAATTCTTCCCTTATTGAATTCAAGGTCGTCTGAGTTCCGGTGTGGAATAATTTTTCGTGAAAATGGATTATTATCAGTCTTGTAAGTTGATGAGAGCTTGGAATGATGATCGGATGTTTTACCTTATCAGGTAGTACGGCATTCTTTAATCTGCCTCCCAGTCGTAACACTCCATGCTTATCCAAAAATGGCTGCAACGCAATGAGTTTAGAATTCTTCGTGAGGACGTTATTTTCTTTTAGATCCTTTATGTCTTCTTTGAACTCCGCTTCCTGAACCATTTTTATTATCGCTAACTTGGCCTCTTCTAACTCAAGTACGGAAACTATTCTTATTCTACGCTCATTTTTCTTCTCTTTAATATTATAAATGAATCTTAAGACATACAACATCACATGTAACAAGTTGTTTAACGACAAGTACCCCTATCATAATCTTATTACCTTAGAATCTACCGCTACTGCAATCACAGTTTGCTTTCGCATTTCCGGAATATTTTCCGGTGATAAGTCCTCATTTTCCTTGGGCCAAGAGACTTTATCTAAGCTTAACCAACTAGGTCCCTCCCACCATAAATTTGCCCGTATTAATTGTTTGGGTGTAGTGCCTCGGAATATTAAGTCAGCCGGATTGTCCTTTGACTGCACATGCCGCCATTCGGTAGGCGAAGAATTATCATGAATCTCTGTTAGAAACAAATGTCGCCACTTGCGAGATTCTGCTCTAAAGGTAAATTTTCACGGGCTGCTCAAATCGACTGTTTCAGCGACAAAAAGAATCACGTGGTCAAAATTGACGAATATCAAATGTCCATTTTGATCACGTGATCCTTTTTGTCGCTAAAATAGCCGGTTAGAGCAGCTCGTGAAAATTTACCTTTATCCATACTAATACTATTTTAGAATCTGTCCAATAAATTGTTTGATGCGTCTTTATACCTAAACTAGCTATCACTCGCTTCATCAGTTTGATTAACAACACAGCGCTGCATAATTCGAGCCTAGGCAATGATAAAACTTTCATCGGTGCCATTCGGGACTTTGAGCAAATTAACGTAACAATTAAATCCTCTGATTGATTTTGTTCGCGTAAATATATGCATGCGCCAATATATAGGCTTTCTTGCTCGCATCGCAAAATCCGTGTATTTGAACTTGAGTTTCGCTATTACTAGATACAATACTTCTCGGAATTTCTAAAGAATTAAGTAAATTTAACTGCGCTTTAATTTTTCATTCCATTGCTTGTATATATCCATGGGAACTGATTCTTCCCAATCTATGCCTAAACTCCATAATCTTTACATAATAATTTTTGCTGCGCTTACGACTGGTCCTACTAGGCCTAAGGGGTCGAATAGTCTACAAATTTGAGACAACATGGCTCTCTTTGTTACCTGTTCGTTGCATTCCTTTATTGCTACTTCATAATTGAAAGTATCTTTATTTGGATCTCACAGTATACCTAACAGTTTCGATTGCTGCTCTTTGTTGATGTCTATTGCTTTATCGTCAGTTGCAATGTCATTTAACCTTGTTATGTTAGTCTTCCACTTGTGTAACATAAAACCTCCTATTTCTAGTAATTTTGTTAGCTCTTCCTTTAATTCTTTAATTTCTTCTATCGTTTCCGCGCCTGTCAGTAAGTCGTCCATATAAAAATTTCTTTTTACTACTTTGGCAGCTTTAGGAAAATTTTCTTTATCGCACTCGCTATCTCTGCTAACTTTAACAAATACCTAACCGCTAGGAAGGACGCGGGTTTCGTCCCATAAGTGACTGTACTCAACTCAAATTCTTCGGGGTGACCACGGCTCGATTGGACACCACCAATCACAGCGACCGGTGCTTTTTAGTCTCAAGCGCTATGAGTGGCTCGTGTCCAATTGAGCCGTGTCCAACTGAGTGCCACCCAATTCTTCTATCCGTTTCTGGATCCTCCCGCCACAAAATTGTTTGTAGATTAGTTTGGCTTTCGTATATTAAGATTTGTCTGTACATCATTTTTATGTCTGCACATAATACGTATTTGAAACATCTGAAATGTATTATTATCGAAAACAGGTCTGGCTGTAATATGCGACCTTTATATTGTAACCGTACTCGCGAGCAACGGCACAACTTCGTCGCGCGTTCTTCGTACTCCTCGTACGCAAAAATATCTCCTTTCTCTCGGTAACTGAATTTTGCGACAGCCAGGCGGTTTTCCGGCCAAGATTGTAATTCTTATTACTAAGTTGGGCGCCAGGCACGAGAGAGCGTGCCACTCTTTCCGAAATCTCCTTACTTTTGCCCGTAACCAATTCGCGACGGCAGGGGTGGGTCGCAAGAGGTGTGGGAAATTTGTAAGATAGGCTGCAAGAATAACATACGCGAGGAAGTAATAATAAAAACAGTATATTTGGAAAAAATGATAAAGTAAGAAAAATGACATGGGTGACGTAATTACAAGTGATCTCCGGAGTTTCGCTCCTTTGCGCTACTCTGTACGCTCGGTACTCGCACAGAGTCGCTAACTTATTTCGAACGCCGGCCATACGCTACAGCACGAGCCCCTCGGTTCCCTGCGGTAACTTCCGACGGTGTCCAACGCCCTTCTCAACCGTTAAGAACCCGTACCCGCTGTATCACCAGTCTCCCGATACGCAACGCCAGCACGGCGAAAGCGCAGCACGATTACAACAAGCGTCTCTATGCGACGCGACTCTACTCGACTGCGCGAATTCCGGAAACTGACTATCCGAGATGCAACAACCGGGAGTCCACTCTGCCCGACGACGCGGCAGTAAGCGTTCCGACGCAACAGTACATGATTCAATAACACATTCACAGCGAGCGTTCCTACGCGACACAACGATACACGACAACGCGACTACAATAGGCGTTTTTACGCGATCCGACAATTTACGACAATACGCGACAACACGAAAACTTACAACTAATGACTCATCTGTGGCCAGAGGGGACGACCGCGACTCGGCCCTCGATAATCTCTACACGACTCTAATTCTCCAAATGCGATAACTAAAGATCTCTCGACTCAACTCTCAAAATGCGATAACTAAATATTTCCACTGCCCGGGAGGATGGCACGCGGCTCGCGATTCCGCGGCTCTACACGGCGGCCATTACGCCGGTCTATTTTCACGATGCGAGCTTGCTTACGTGCGATCCACCCGGCAACGTACCCCGGTCGGCAGCTTTACACGCGCAACGCTCGTCTCACCCTCGACGTCCTAGTCCTCGCGGGCCCTCACGACATTCTCTTTCCCGCAGCTCTCGGCAGTCCGGCTCTCCGGGTCACGTTACCCGTCGGCAGCGGCCTCGTACTTTACACGTCTCACGGCTCGCTCGTCTACAGAAAGAGTGAGTCCCGGGTAGAGGTGGAGAACTATCGATAGTACTATCGATAATTATCGATAATTCCAGCTATCGAAAACTATCGATAATTTTTTGTGACTATCGATAGTTTTCGATAGTTTTGTTTTTTTCATCTTACAATTAAGCTGGCGGCACACAGAGCGTGTTTTCCTACTGAATTCGGATTGCTTGCGTTTTAGTAAATTAGAATTGCGCCAATCAGAACGCAGAATTTTCAGTAATTTACCAAAACACAAGCAATTCAGCAGGAAAACATGCTTCGTATACCGCTGGCTTCATTTTTTTTTCGATCTTAAAAATAAATACTTTTCAAGAGATGTTTTTAACATTAACTCAAATTTTATAACTCTTAAACTCAAATTACTAAATTTTAGCTTTAGATCAAGCAACAACGAACAGAGCAGAACAGAGTGCGTTCTATGCATAGACATATAGAATGGACTGCCACTGGCCACTACCACGAGAGAGCGCGTAGTAGCATATACGGCGCAGACATAGCGACGGGGAATACCCATCTTTCTCTTTTGATCGCTTGGTGGGGGTTGAGTGAGAGGGGACTGGCCATAGACATTGCTCGATCAGTATGTGTGTGATCAGTCCTCTCTCACTCACAGCTCCCACCAAGCGACCAAAGAGAAAGACGGATATTCCCCGTCGCTATCCGCTATGTCTGCGCCGTATATGCTACTACGCGCTCTCACGCTTCATTTCTTGAAAAGCGAAATGAAGAGAAGTCTAAAAGTGTTCTAGCAGATGTCATTATACGCAAAAGACAATATTTGGAAAGAAATAATTCGCCAGAAAACACAGATCCGCTTTTATTTTTGAAGGTAAAATACTTTTTTAACGTTTATTTTATTTCGATGAACATTTTTATACTTTTAGGTTAATGAGGAGTTAAATCCGTTATCAGAATTATGCAAGAAATATTTATGTATACCAGCATCTTCTACTGAGTCCGAAAGAACTTTAGGTAAAACTGGGCAAATAATATCTGACAGAAGATCAATGGTCTCAAACCAAAAAACGTCGATATACTTGTTTTTTTACATAAAAATCAGTGGCTTTTTTCTAATGAAAAAATTAATTAAATCGTTAACTTAGACATTTCGACAAATATAAATGTAATATATATATATATATATATACACACACATATCTATCTATTTAAAAGAAATAAAAACTATGAAATTTTGCATTTTATTTTAATGAACATTTTTATACATTTAGAGGTTAATGAGAAGTCCTTTATCATAATTATGCAAGAAATATTTATGACGAACTTTATTTTTTACAACTATCGAAAACTATCGATAATTATCGATAGTCAAGCGAGGAACTATCGGAAATTATCGATGGTCAAGACTATCGATAGTTCTCCACCTCTAGTCCCGGGAGCTCCCGGCGGATTCTCGCAGGCTGCTTAGCTTCCCTCCTCCTTCGGGGGGAGGTAATCACGCTGATTGGCTTTCGCGTGTCACGATATCCGCGCGTGATGTGCAGGCCCGCGCGGCCTTGAGTCCTGGGGTACGTTCCGTTTCTCGCATAATGCGCATAACGCATCGTTTATCCTTGTGCTCATAAAATGTTAAACAAGGACAATGGATGCATCATGCACATCATGCACGATACGGAACGCACCTCTGGCTCGTACAAGCGTGCAATAGATGTCCCTGTCAAGGGTGGCGTCTCCGCTTACGGCCCCC